CCTCACTATATTCATTAGGAAATTAGGGGCAGCAGAAATGAAGCTACATCAGCTAAAAATTCAACAGAATGAAAGAAAACCTGAGTTGGATCTACTGGCATGGGATCAAAGGCCATCTATATGGTTTTATATAGAAAGGTCTCCTATAGCTTAGTACAATTAATCTAATTTGCACTGGAACCATAATTAGTGTGGAGGAGAGGGGGGGAGGGTAATAGCGGGCTATCAATCTGATACCATCAGCGCAGGGACCTTTGTGGGAAATGGAGCACAGTGGGAATAGTCCATAATGCTGTGCTATATATTGTTAATTAATCAATTCTTCAATATTCTCCCAATTATTAATTAATTAGTTCTCTGATGTTCTCCCTCTTTCTCTTTATCAATTCCATCTTCCATACCCCTCCATCTTATTGAAAAGAACCACTGTCTAGATGCATAGAATGGAATCAGATTAAAGGACTCTTTTCTACACCTTTAAGCATACAGGGCATATAGGGCTAGGCCAATATTTTATAGATCAAAGCACACTTGGTGGTTGATATGGTCAGCATCATACCAGCTGCCTTTACTTCCCAGGACTGCACCCGGTACCCACTCAAGGCTGGGTCAACCTGGAAGCCAAGGTCATTTCTGAAAAAAAGTCTGGCTCCACAAGAACCCAAACCCTTGACCTTCAAATTCACAAGCAAGATCAAACTAGACAAAAAATAAAAAAAATTGTTAAACAGATGTATTGATAAATAAAACAAAAGGGAAGTGGACCTATATTAGAGGCTTCATGATTTGAGTTTATTTCTAAAATCTTCTTCTTCTTTGCGTTCACCAGATGTAAATTCCGGCGGAAAGTTCTGGTTGTTCGTCCACTTCTGGACTGCAGTCCTGTTTCAGAACCTGAGTGTTGATTGTGCATCCATTTGACAAATCTGACTCATTTGTGTGTAGACTGTTGGTTCCTTGCCTCTCATGCAGATGCACTCCGACTTCAAAGGAAGCTCCCGATTAGTCGACTTTTATGACATGCTTTTGGGTAGGCAGTGGGTCTATTCTTGTTTTCCCCATGATAAGGCTCCATAACTCACATGGGGAATTTCAAAAATCAATAATAAATGATTAAGGAATAAGAGCAATAACTGTAAAAACAACCACTTTATTTGCTGAGCATCATACATTCAGAAATAAAATCAAGTTAATCCTTTAACTGAAGAACTCAAAAAACGACATGATCATTTCAAAAACAAGAACTCAACGTTGAACAGAAAAGTAAAATCCAGACAATGAGGAGGCAAACACCATTGTGATTAGATTATGGAAATAAAAAAACTGGAATCACATAATTATCACCATAATAATGATCAAACATCACCATCATTTTCAAGTTTATTGTCGGTACCATTACGTGGAAACTGCAGGGAGTTCTCATACCAGTACAGCTCATAAATGCGGGTTCATAAAAATCAGTATAAAATAATGTACAGTTTTCTGCGAGCAGTCTAGGGTGGAAAGACAACAAGGAAAGCAACTGGTCACCCTACTTCATACATTGTAGCCTAAAATGTGTGAAGGAGAACTCTTCACTCCTCAACGGCACACCTGTTGCATAATTATATAAAAAAAAACAAGCAGCAGGTGCAGCTGGCTGAATGATTAAGAACACAAGGCTTTCCGACTGGAGACCCAGGTTCAAATCCTTGGTTAAGTTATGGAATTTTTTCTGTGGCAACAGCGCTAGCCCTACTCCTAAATCCTCAGCCTCACAGACACTCATACCTCAAAATTGTCAAACAGGCAGCAGTGGCAGTTTTTCTGCATTTTTAAATAAATGAACTAGAAACATGAGATCAGAAAACTGCCACAAATATACATCATCATTTGCCATGTAGCCCACAATGTTTGTCTAGAAGAGAGCTTTCCAAAGTATGTGTTGTGACATATTAGAGTGCAGGCTGCAGTGTGAAGGTGTGTGGTTGTAATTTATACATGTCCCTATCTCTTAAGTGGGTTAATTTAATCTCTGGTCTGTAAGTAGACTGAATTATTGTTTCACAAAATTATGTTTTACTAAAAAGTGTGTCACCAAGATGAAATGTTACGAAAACTCTGCTTTAGAAATATCTGCCCAGAATGTTGGTTATGTAGTCAACAGATAATCCCCATTGCACATCAAACCATACAGTCCATAATTGCTTGGATCACCTCCTCAGCACATCTCGCAGCGTGTAGCAGCTGATGACGCCAGTCCTGTGTTGGTTTCTTCGTCTACTTTGGCTTCCTGCATAATGCTGTCTGGCCACACCTCTTTTAATACGCTGTTTTTTTGCAGCCTGGTTATGAGTTGCAGATTCAGTCATCACTTGGTTCTCATACAGCATTCAGTATATCAGCCTGGGCCTTGGCTCGTCGGCCCTCCACAGAAGCTTTACCTGCAAGCCTGTCAGCTTGCTCATTTCCTAACATGCCTGTATGCCATGCCCTGGCACAAATAGGAAACTGATATGTGTCAGCCCGCCTGCCTCAGATACTCCAACCACTGTCTTCGGATCCAGCTCATCTTGATTTTCCTAAGCATACTTACTGAGTTATATAGAGAAATCATGCATCAGTAAAATTTTGCGTCTCCAGTCATGTTATTTCTTTGATCACTCCAGTCACCCAACTTATGTTATAGTCCAGAATCGTGTTTAACTGATGGACCATGGCTGATGAAAAGACTAGGTCGGCTGACAGTTTTATTAGGGGGGGCTGATCATGTAGCAGGTTAGGGTAAGTAGTTGTTCTCTTCCAGGACTACATTCTGTAGGGTTAACACATCAAGCATGAAAAACAAAAAACAAAACAGGTACAAATCCTCTAACCCTAGCTAAACCGCATATACTTTGTAACCTCTGAATAATAGCAGATGCTTTAACAGCTGAAAATTGTAATTTGTAACATCGAATTCAGCTAAATGACTGCTATCTACATTTGTTTCTGTGTTTAGTTAGCTGTCAGGTCAACCACGAAACAAGTTCCATTATTTTGGTGGGCCGCGGGTGAAACAATCTTAAAGAAACTTAGCCAAGAACATGTGAAGGCCTACCACTTCACACCAACATGGCAGTGTCTGCTATAAAACCTAAAAAAAACACACACAAAAACTCACTATTGTCTGTTTTACCACTTATTAGGGCAGTGTAGACAGGGAGGTCATGAGCTTGAGGATTAGGGCCACATGGCTAGTGCTGTCGCCATAGACTGTTCAGTCTAGGATGTTTAATTCTGCTTCCGACAGAAAAACATCCATCACTTTACTGGTGTCGAACCCAGGTCTCACAACATTGTAACCACTCAGCCAGCCATTCCTTCCCTTATATATTTCTGTTACCTTGGGCATGCCAAAGAACCACTGTGTAGCTATGAAATTAGCTGACTTTCTAACAATGTGCGGTAACCACAGCCTACATCTGTCCCTATACTTCATGAATTTGCTAACGGTACCATCGGTACTGGAACTCTTAGCTGGCTATTGAATATGAGGACGGAGCACATATGGGAGTATCCTGAGTGCTGTGATGTCAGTTCTTGCCTCATGCATTATTTATTATAATAAAAAAAGAACATTAATGTAATTACGTGGCAATAATGCTGCATAAGCAAACATTAATCACATTAATCCTAGAAGCAAAACATTAATTATAAAAAAACTATTCTAATCATTTGATATACTATTATATCCGAAAATACTCAATATATATATATATATATATATATATATACATGTGCATAATACCAAGTATTACAAAATTAGGTCTCCATATTTATGATGGCATCCGTCAGTCCCGGGGGAACTATGGAGATGTGCCGCTGGCTTTGGGAACAGCATCTGCTGTGACTGTAAAGTCCGATGCGGGAATGGCAGTCTTTGCCACACAGGATACACACAAAAGCAGATACTCCCTCGTTGTGAGGCAGTTTTACTCTCCGGTGCCTCCTCTCCACAGCTCGTTGTGTTCGGTATATATCCATATTTATACAATCATAATAAGAGAGTGATAAATAAGCTGTGAAGATTATCTGTACAGTTATTCATATTTTCTGTTATCAGTATTAACTAGAGGATAAAACTTCGTCTGAGTTTTGTTCATATGTAAATGTAAATAATGTAATTGCCAAGGTGTAGATCAAATACTGGAAAGACAGAAACGTTCTATTTACATCCAGGGTCTGTCAGGAATGTATCCTATCTACCTTGTTATTTATCACATGTATAGATCAAATCAGTACAGCTTCATAAAAAGAGCTGCAGAGACACCTTGATAAACTCAACAAGGCAGAAACAAAAGTTATAACCAGTGCAAGAACAGAACAACCAATCAAGATATGCACAGAAAAGCAGAATAAAACATTGCTGGGCATAGTGTAATAATTATACATTTAAAGTGATAAATCCCTACTTGTTGAGTAGTTTATTTAGCATCATGCCAGCTGCTTTTACTTTGCAGACATTACATGATCCTCATTTTAAAGTGGGTCAATCTTGGAGGCAAAGTCAAATTTTGAAAATATCTGCATTGATGTAGATTTGAACCACTAACCTTGGAACCAGCTGGCAAGCCATTTCCTTGCTAATGGTACAAGAGTTCTAATTTCTATATTACCTCTGGCACACTTGAAAACTATTCTTAGGTTTACCAAATGTGCCAATCTTCCACGTAATCTTTTTTAAACTATCTGTTAACTTCTCCTTCAGATTCAATTTCTATCCCATAACTACCTTCCTGCCTTACACAGAACCAATCATCATCACTACTGTCTTTCCTGTTGGGCATTATAAATCCCATACGGCTTGCAGTCTATTCCTCTATTCTGTTCTGCAATTTCTTCTATATCATCCAGTCCAGCAGCTTTGTCCTCTCTCATCGTTTGTTTTATAATTTCTTTTGAATGTCCTCATTTCTTCAATCCCTTTATTACACAGAAACAATATTAAGGTAAAACTCACAGCACACAAACTAAATGAATCAATTAATATTGGCCCTGGCACGAGCTCTGATATGGCTACGACAAAGAGGGCAATCCTGAAGAGCGACAGCACATTCCTGGCAGGAAATCAAATGCCCACATGGCAAAAACACTATCTTGACTTCTTTGTCCATGCAAATCTTGCATGTTAGGTTACTCCTCAAAGCATAGTTCTGTTCCTTTAGTGCTTGCAATCGTCCTACAGAACAGTAAAAATCAACTCTTTCAGGTTAAAAGAAAAAAAAACCTTTTACTGGTGATTATAACTTTAAAAAAAAAAAACAAGCCAAGGAGGCTTGTAAGAGGTTTGTCAACAAACACAGCAACCAAATCTTGATGAAGAAGAAGAAGCAGCAGCAGAAGAAGAATAAGAGGAAGAGGAGGAGGAAGCAGTAGCGGTAGTAGTATTTTACCCAACAGAAATTATCAGATTTTTATTGCACTAAGGATACAAGTAAAGACTTATTGATCTCACTCTATTATGAAAAATCAGTGACACATGCTAGACACTCAAGTACTGCACTACAGAGAATTACATTTCAGGAAGCCAATGAATAACTGCAATAATGATGGGTTGTTCTTCAACGTGAATTCTAGTTTTGTTCTTCCTCTTGAGTGTTAGTACAGGACAATGTTAGACCAGCATGAATTGGAACTGTGCTCAGGCAATGAGATGCCAACTATTCATCATTTGTTGGTGATAGACAACATAACTCACACACCCACCCAATAATGTATTACGAAGGTTGTGAATACTGCAGATCATTGAATCTATTTCCACACAAATTTGCCATGAGTCTATCTCTCAGCATGTAGTGTTCTATGTCAGTGAACTTTTGTTTTTATTTCCCTCCTGCATATAGAGTTGCTCTTTTACTGTGGCTGGAGTGGTGGCTTCTGCTGCGAGTTCTTCTTCTTCTCCTCCTCCTTTTTCTGTTTTTGTTTTAAATTTCTTCTGCTTTCACAGGTAAAAGGTTAACTGGCATATTATTTTGTAGTTTCCAGCTAGACAAACCTCTAATCAGTAACCTTTTATGACATGCTTAAGGGGTAGTGGGTCATTCCCCCCCCCCCCACCCCAAAAGGGGATCCCAAAAATCACAATGGGAGAGCTCTTATCTATTTTAGCCTAAAGTTGATGGTCTCTCCTGACCAACTAGTCAATCTACAAAATGAGAGGTTTCTTACAGAACAAACTGGAGCACCAATGAATATGTTCAGAGCACGGTAAGAATAATCTTACTAAAATGAACCACTACTGCAGCATCTGTGAAGGTTCTCTAGGATTCTGGAAACAGTTAAACATAACAGATACAGCACCCACATCTGCAGAAGATTAGTTGAACTGGGAGGGAGCAGAGTGTCTGGATGATTTTCTACCCACAGGAAAAAGTTGAGTTGTAAAGTAAAGAAATGGCATCACAGCACTTGGGGCATTCCCATGCATGCTTTGTCCCCATCTTCAGCAGCCAGCGCAGAGTTCCAATACTGATGGTGCCGGTCACAATCTGGTTATATGTCCGTCTTGCCTTTCTTCTGCGTGTAGTGAGCCGGCCAGACCCTCTGGTTACACCCAGGTGCCTCATTCTCTCCAGGCCATAATATTCTTCTATCTCCACTGATTCACCCACAGAGAAAAGAACAAGCGAACCTCTGATAAGGTTGCGTCTGACATTGTCAGCATGGGAATATATGGGAATATATGGGAATGTTCTTGGTGCAGTGATGTCAATTCCTGATTCGTTCACTCATTCCTAAACAAATGCACTACAAGATGCAATGAAACATTAGTTTATTGCCATATGGTGTAATTCTCAAGTTCGTTTATACATCTAATTGTTTCCAAAAGTAATTAAAGATAATTGCAAAGGAGATAAGCTACACAACTCACCTTCATCAGGGACATCTTCAGCTTTAGTTCTATCACTGATCGCAGCCCCATCAGGTGTAGCACCATTAACCTCAGACTGCTGGTCCCTCATTCTTCTTAAAATCACATCAGCTGACAGCTGCTCACCTAAAGTCAGAAATCAATGATTAGAAATCTTGTTTATATTCCCACCTGAAGTAAAAGTTAGTTGCATATCCTTTACAGCAGTGGTTCTCAACCTGTGGGCCGTGGCTCCTTTAGGGGTCAAATGGCCCTTTCACAATGGTCGCCTAAGACCATCGCAAAACATATATTCACTGAAGTTATGAAGTAGCGACGAAAATAATGTTATAGCTGAGGGTAATCACAACATAAGGAGCTGTATAAAAGGGTCAAGATAGTAGGATGGTTGAGAACAACTGCTTTACAGTAATTATGAAATAAAAGATTGTGAATTTCAAACAGTTAAACCAGAATTTGTTTACTTACAATATCAGGGAGAGTTTTGAGGTAGAAGAGATATGGTTTCTAAGGTAAATGTTGAGAATAACTTGAACAGCCAGAGTAACTAGCGATTGCCTAATAAAATATAGCTGGTCGTATATCCTTTACAGGACATCAAACCAACCCCAGCATTTTTGTCTATGGTTTAACTAGGCAATTTTATTTTTAGTAGTTCGTCATTGCTTTCTGAAGGGTCCATTCTCCATAACAGTGTAGAAATCACAGCAAAGAAAACTGTTGCCATTTTTCTGGATCTAAATCGAACTGGGTATTTTGGAATTATAAACTATGTTCATAACCTTTAAACAGCAAATGCCAATATGAAAAAGAAAGAAGAACATTATATCAGTTTATAAAAACAAGGAGAAAAATAAAGTCCTTGACATGTGCTGGGAGGCACAGAAAAAAACTGTAATAACCGCAAAGAACAGTGATAGAACAGGCAGACCGAAAAGAAAAAGAAAAAAAAGAAAATCACTCAGTGATCTGTGAAGTGGATGGGTGATTGTTATTAACCAGAACATCAAGGACTGAGATCTGGGAGAGACATAGATGTCCGCACCATTCTGGAAAGGCATTTGGTAATGATGATGATGATATGACACTTTAGCCGCTAACCCACTTTCCGTTTTGGTTGTCCATGAACCATGAACATGAACCACCGGCATTGGAGACACACCTTAATCCTTTGGAGACTGAGCCTTTTTGGAGTTTCCGTGACAAGAAGACTGAGACTTCAGAAGGGGACTCTCATAGTTTTTACACAAAAAGTTATAAAAAAATTAAGCGTTTAATTAACATTTACAAAAATACATATATTTGTTTAGAAAATTGAATGAACAAACAGAAAATTTATAAATCAAACTACAAACTAGAATTTCAACATTTTTTCAAATTAACTATTCTGATTTGCATAATTTATAAAACTTGGAAACATACATAACTAATATGAAAAATCTGGGTGCATTTTTTTATGGATGAAGCTTGAATAAGTCCTAACACCTGTATTTTGGGAAGTAAGGCCCTTGGAGGTCCTTCAGTCACGTCTAGCACATGGTTCTACTCAGTTTTTCTGCCTCCAGCCATATTTAAGTTGCTATGATGCAACAGTCCTTTTCACTTTTTGTTGGGCACAGGTAACCCCAGAAAAAAATCAATGCAAAATTACAGAACACATCAAACTTTCTCAAATGCCATCAATGAACAACCCACATGTGCCAGAAATGTGATTGGCTGGTGCGAAAACCTGCCAGCCAATATCAAGGCTTTTACTACACAGGGCCGACCGATCAGCCCAGCCATCCTTCTGGCTACTTTGTGTTGGGCCGATATTTCAGCCACGTCTCCAGAGGGTTAAAGGGTCTGGGACCTGAGGCGGAAACTGAAATATTATGGCCATATCCTTGCCACAGCAAACTGGAAAAAATAACAGCAAAATGCACAGTACCAGGAAATAGGGGCAGGTGCCAACCAACATGAAGATGGGCAGAAAATATAAGTGACATCTTGGGCAGGAGAGTGCATGAGATGGGAGAGCTGGTAATAGACCAAGTTTCTTTCGGGCAGACCATGATAAAAAAAATGTTCTCTGAAGGACTTCTGCGTGATGATGACCTGAGGCCAAGGAGAAGCTTCAGATCAGTTAAGAGCCATTTTCAGAGACAGAAGTTACGTAGGCTATTAAATCTCAAAAGGTAAACAAAGAACATGGGAGTGATGGTCTTTGCCCAAAAATGCTCAAAGTGGAGGAGACAGAAAAACCAACATTTTTTTTTAAATTCTGGCAAGAAATCTGAAAGAATAAAGAAACTTCACAAGATTAGGGAAACTGGTACCATCTAAAAAAAATATTACCGCTTTGAAATTACAATCCTGTTCAATCTAATATTGAGATAATACAATTTATATAATGTCTTTTTCATCACCTAAATCCACTCTTAAAAGGGTGGTTGGTACATTTTGTTACAGTTTACAGCTAGACTGTGCACTATGCACATTTCAATCTAAAGTAAACAATTTTATCTTTTCAACAAACTCATCATTATTTACCTTTCACAACATGCTTCTTGAGGGTTAGTGGGTCAATTTCTTTTGGGTTGACCTGAAAATGGGGCTCAGAAACCCACATGGGGAGTTTATATAATTGTAAATACTTACCACTTTCTCTCAGGCTAAGAGCAGCTCTGGATACATCCTCTAGATTATAGCCAGCATCAACAAGAGACCTGACAGCAACATCATCACTGATTTTTTTGTCATTGAACACTGGAAATAAAGAATAACTTTGTTAAAATATGCACCCTGAAATTTACTGGACTGAGAGACAGAGACCTGTTGATGGTTGCTGCAGAGTTTACCAGAGAGCTGTAGAAATGCCATCACGGTTTCTCTAGAATTAACTGGAGAACTGTATAAATGCCACCATGTTCTCTCCAGAGTATACTGAAGAGCTGTAGAAATGCCACCATGGTCTCTCTAGAGTGTACTGGAGAGCTGTATAAATGCCACCATAGTCTTTCTAGAGTATACTAGGAAACTAGAAATGTTATCATTGTCTCTCTAGAGTATGCAGGAAAACTAGAAATGCCATCACTGTCTCTCTATAGTTTACTGGAGAACTGTAGAAATGTCATTTTGGTCTCTCTAAAGTTTACTTGAGAGCTGTCAAAATGCCATCATAGTCTCTCTAGAGTTTACTGCTGACCTGTAGAAATGCCACTATGGTCTCTCGAGTATACTGAAGAGCTGTAGAAATGCCACCATGGTCTCTCTGGAGTTTACTGGAGAATTGTAGAAACACCATCATGGTCTCTCTAGAGTACACTGGAGAACTGTAGAATAGCCAACTCCCCCCAGAGACCATGACCTTGTAGTGGTGGGGGAGCTTGAGAGCCTCAATGATCTAATGAGCTATGCCGGCGGGGACGTATGTTTCCTGGCAGGGTCACCCAAGCCGGACAGGTCATTGGTGAGGGGCCAGACTAAAGATGGCCTCCCGGTCCTCCAGGCTCGGGGGTTGGGTGCAGTGTTGACAGCTCTGCCCTGTAAAAAATCTACAACGTTACTGAAACTTCAAGAGGAAATAAGTGCTCTAAATGTCTCCGACGGTCTTGGGACAGAGTCCCTCTGTCAGCATGAACAACATGAGTAAAAGCCGAAAGGAAGCCCATGACGGGAAAACAAGTCTGCTGAATGTCAAAACCAAATTAAGAATTGGCTTCTGGAATGTAAGAACCATGTTTGAAATGGCCAAAACCGTCCAAGTAATTAAAGAAATGCAGAACTATAAATTGCATATTCTTGGAATTAGTGAAAGCAGGTGGACAGGGTTTGGACAATCCACAACAGGTACAGGAGAAACCATAATATACTCTGGAAGAGATGATAACCTACATTCTGCAGGCGTGGCACTCATTTTAAAGAAAGGTATGCACAAACATCTCACCGAGTGGCATCCAATTAATGAGAGAATTATGACAGCAAGATTCAATGGGAAACATGCCAAACTTACAATTATCCAATGCTACGCACCGACTAATGAAGCTGAAGACGAAGATAAAGAAACATTCTAAAGTACCAGCCCATGATATTCTATGCGTTATGGGAGATCTCAATGCAAAAGTTGATAACAACAACTTGAATAAAGAACTATCAATGGGAAATCAAGGATGTGGTACAATTAATGACAACGGGGAAAGACTGAGTGACTTCTGCACAGCGAACAGACTTTTTATAGGAGGAGCACTGTTCCCTCACAAGAATTTACACAAGCTTACATGGATATCCCCAAATAGAAGAGATGTAAACCAGATCGACCATTTCATGGTAAACAGAAAATGGCGTGGGTTCATACTCAATAAAGAGAAAACAGGGGAACCCAAAAACAACATGGAGATGAACGATGGAAAGTGACCTGAGTGCCGCATCTTTGACAAGGAAAACTGCACTGAAGATTGCGCAGGACAGGAAAGCATGGAAAGTCCTCTCTGAAGCCTCATGTGCCACTAGGCATAACGAGAACTGATAATGATGTAGAATAGCCATCATAATATCTCTATAGTTTACTGGAGAACTGTAGAAATACCCTCATGGTCTCTCTAGAGTATACTGAAGAGCTGAAGAAATGCCACCATGGTCTCTCTGGAGTTTACTGGAGAACTGTAGAAATACCATCATGGTCTCTCTAGAGTATACTGGATAACTGTAGAAAAGCCATCATAATCTCTCTAGAGTTTACTGGAGAACTGGAGAAATACCATCATGGTCTCTCTAGAGTTTACTGGATAACTAGAAAAGCCATCATAATCTCTCTATAGTTCACTGGAGAACTGTAGAAATGCCACCATAGTCTCTCTAGAGTTCACTGGAGAACTGTAGAAATGCCACCATAATCTCTCTAGAGTTCACTGGAGAACTGTAGAAATGCCTCCATAATCTCTCTAGAGTTCACTGGAGAACTGTAGAAATGCCACCATAAACTCTCTAGAGTTCATTGGAGAACTGTAGAAATGCCACCATAATCTCTCTAGAGTTCACTGGAGAACTGTAGAAATGCCACCATAGTCTCTCTAGAGTTCACTGGAGAACTGTAGAAATGCCACCATAGTCTCTCTAGAGTTCACTGGAGAACTGAAGAAATGCCACCATAGTCTCTCTAGAATTTGGAGAACTGTAGAAATGCCACCATAGTCTCTCTAGAATTTGGAGAACTGTAGAAATGCCACCATAGTCTCTCTAGAATTTGGAGAACTGTAGAAATGCCACCATAGTCTCTCTAGGATTTGGAGAACTGTAGAAATGCCACCATAGTCTCTCTAGAACTTGGAGAGCTGTGGAAATGCCACCAGTCTCTCTAGAATTTGGAGAGCTGTGGAAATGCCATTATAGTCTATCTAGAGCAGCAGTTCTCAATCTATAGGTCATGACATTTTTGTGGTTTGCTCGCTCACAAGGCTTGTTAAGACCATCGGAAAACACATATTTACTAAAGTTATGAAGCAACAACAAAAATAATTAAACTGTATAATTAAGAAAACTCACAATTTTGTATGCTCTGTCCCTTTTTCTGCATGTAGTCTGTTACATCTTTGAAAGTAATCTGTAAGGATAATAAGGGCTGTAAAGATGCAGGTCTCAGTGCAGTTAATGTCTTCTTTAGGGCTTTGTATAGAGACAACAGAGGCAATCATGACTCTCTAGTTGTTTGTTATCTGAAGTCTGATGAAGGTCTTCTGCTACTTTGTAACTCCATTTACAGTACTGGCCCTCAGGTAGCTATTCTCTGATCAACTCTACTAAGTTGTCCCTTATGAAATGCTTGGTAGATTACAGTGTCATGAATCAATGCTGACGATACTCTGCTTTTTTTTTTTTAATTTCATGCTGGTAAAAAGAGAATGTTGATACTCAGTTGTATTTCATGTTGTTAAGAGGAGAAGGTTGATTCTCTGTTTATTGTATTTCTCTATGTTAATAACCTTTTCTATTAGGTTCTGGGGCAGAGTCTGGGATGGGAGGAGGAGAGACAAAAAATGCCCTCTTACAAACATGTAATAAAAGATTTGCAATTACAGGTGTTTTCTTCAAAGCTGGTGTGCATATGCCTAAGAGATGAGCAACCACAAGACTGTGTAAAAAAAAAAAAAAAACCCAGATATGTAAAGCAGATGTGCATGCAAATCTCTAGCCCTGAAACAAGACCAAAAACAAATATTGAGGAAACAACCAAAACTTGCTGCCAGAGTTTTACAGCAGGTAAATTCTAAGAAGAAGGAGAAGATGAATGTTAATGAGGATAGCGCTGATACTTTGTTTATTGTATTTCCTGCAAATGGAGAATGTTAATACTCTACGGTTTTTCTATTGGCAGACTGAGAATGTTGATACTCTACTGTTTTTTTCTATTGACAGATTGCGAATGTTGAAACTGTACTCTTTTTCCTATTGACAGAGGAAGAATGTTGATACTCCACTGTTTTTGCTATTGGTTGATGGAGAATATTGATACTCTAATGTTTTTCCTGTTGACTGACAGAGAATGATGACACTGTACTGTTTTTCTTTTCGACTGATGGTGAATGGTGATACTTTACTGTTTTTCCTATTAATAAATGGAGAATGTTGATACTCTACTGTTTTTCCTTTTGACAGATGGAGAATGTTGATACTCTACTGTTTTTCCTATTGACAGATGGAGAATGTTGATACTCGACTGCTTTTCCTATTATTAAATGGAGTATGTTGATACTCTAATGTTTTTCCTATTTATTGACGGAGAACGTTGATACTCTACTGTTTTTCCTATTAATAAGTGGAGAATGTTGATACTCTAACTCTATTTTATCTCCTGTTGATAAAAGTAGAATGTGTATTTTTTTTAAATTTATCGGTGATCAGAGGAGAATGTTTTTTCTTTCTCAGGCCATTTCCTATTGATAAGCGTAGAATGCTGATCCAATGTTGACAATTTTTCACATGAAGCTATTGAGATAACCATTTGAAGGATACAGTTTTATAAGTTGTCTGACTTGTACACATACAGGGTTGCAACATAATGAAGCAGAATAATGGTTTTCTTTCTGACCCCATTTTTTTTCCAGATAATGTTCAGAAAACTCAATAATGTTAAATAATATGAACATAAACAATACCCTGCACAATTTATTGCCATACATATTTCATTGTATCTTTTTAGGTACGTTATTATAGAGTTAAGTCAACATATAATCAAACACAATGAATAAGTTCGACTGAAATACTAATGAGTACATTATTTGTCTAATTCCCGATAGTCACATGAACTTACTAGAGTAACTTCAAATTTTTATAAATTCCATCTGGTTAATTGTATCTGCATTATTTAAACTCACTACAGAGAAGATTTGTTTTAAATATTTTACAATTATTTCCAACCTATTTGATGCGACTAAAACCACTCCTGAATTGCACTCATGGGAAACAAATGCTGATACATCTGGTGACTAAACAAAGAAAGAATACACACTATCACTGAACAAAAAACACTAATTATCTTGTAAGTAACTGTATATAAAAAGACATCACTTACTGTTCCTCCTCGGTTTTTGAGACACTGGACAGCTTCCACAAACTCCAGACCCATAAACTGTCGGATAAAGCTGCACTTGTCAAACCAACGTGCATGCTCAACATAGGCATTATCACCACTCTCCCAGTTTCTCAGGCCTCCTCCACAAAAGAAACATTTACAGCAATCTCCATATCCTGCAGAATTGAAACAATCAAAAGGGTGTTTCCTTCATGGCTGTGCCTTCATGGCTGTAGTGCCTATGCCTGAGAGGTGAAGTACCAACAGTGTGCAAACAAATAAGCCAGATATGTAATTTGGATGTGCTTGCAAAATTTAGGTTCTCGAAGAAGATTAAAGTAGATAAACACCAAAAATGTTTGCCTGAGTTTACAACTAGTGAACGTGAAGAAGAAAAAGAAATTTAATAAAAAATGTAAAAATATTTTTAAATCCACAAATCCATTTTTATGTCTTAGACAAAGGATTTAACATTAGAATGCTTACAATTTCTGGAATAAGTACTCTAGATCCTTTGAAAGACACTAAGATCTGAAGATAACTTACCAAAGAATGTCAAAAAGAAGCAGTCTTTTTAGTCCCATTATAAGAGGAGGTAACTGGAACATGTTGCGACAACTAGAAAGATTTATGTAAAACATGATATACAGGAAGACGAGAGAAGATTCTTGACAGCCTTGTTCACGGCATGGAAGGATGTCAGCACATGAACTCATACTTGCTCTTAGAAATGGTAAAATGTGGTAGAGAAGCATAACCACCATTAGCAGTCAGGAAGGCGATGATGAAGATGACTCCGCACCTATGAGTAAGTGGCAGCAAGTAGCAGGGAAGCAGATTGGTTGACTTATACACTGGATTCACTTAGCACAATTTCAGATGAAGTAGGGCTTTCGTTATCTTCTTCCTTAGTTGCCCCTTCTGAAAAACATAGTAGGATAGTGTGTTACTATTCTTTGCTTCCCATATAGTCCCCTGTAACATATGGGTGACAGATCACCATCATTGGGATCATTATCAAGTGCCTTGCCAACTGGAGTGGGTGATCATGCCGGGCCGCTACCTGTGATCCTCAACAGCATGTCTAAATTCGTGAGCTGACACCCTTCCGTGCCATGACAAAAGGCTGTCAAGTATCTTCCTACTTTTTCTACCTTTGTCTATTTTCCCAAAGATCTTTCAAGTTGTTACAACATGTTCCAGTTCCTTTATCTCATAACACGACCAACAAATAATGATTTTTTTTTCTGATGTTTGTGATAAGTTATCTTTAGGCCCCCATCTCTTTCAAAACATAAGTGTTGCTTTTTTCTAAGAAATTGTAAACATTCTTCTGTAAAACAACATCTCTGAGGTCGCAATAAATTTTTTGGCTTGTTTATTAATTACCCAGGATTTACAGCCATATGTTAAAACTGGGTGGCAGATTTAATCATGAAAAGAAAAAAAGAACATTCTGTATTAAAAGATCATCTCCTCCACCACATTATTAATATTAAATGCACCTTAAATTGTACATACTATGTGGCAGTTCTGCCAGGCAGTGGCCGTTGCATTTTTGATCCATTTGTAGACTGGAAGGATATAGTTTCGTCACCCAGCTTCTGAGTTGAGTGCATGGTGTGACACTGTGAGCTACGAGTGTTTTTCGTTGGCACAGGAGCGGAGCAACAATGGGGTGACCCGTTTGCTATGATGCTGAAACTAGGATTACCAGATTACCAGATTACATACTATGTGAAGTGTGTTTTGGGTCTCTTTCATATTTAGCTTTACATCACTATCTAGCCTTGCTACACCTTACATTGTAGATACAAATGGTTTAAAAAAAAAAGTCGGCTTTCTACACACACACACACACACACACAAAAATCAGAATAATAAAAGAAAAAATGATAAGATGCTCTAGTCATGGATAGACAATCGACAAGAAGTGACACAGAAAACTTACCAGCAAAGAACAAGCCAGATTTGACCAAGTCCTCTTTTTTGATTGGATGTTGCTCTGACCAACCATCAAATGACTGTAAACGTCTGGCAAGAACAGCATAATTTGGGAATTTAGGCCGTTCATGGAAAATACCCAACAACTGATACGTCAGCTGCGACTGTGACTGGGCAGAATTAGAAGTGTCTGCGACTGTCATGCCATTGGACCCTGGGGGGATGGCATAGACCTGTGTATTAATACTTGGGTGGTGAGAAACATTGTCCTGGTAAGTGTTGGTGCCATTCTGTAGGTTCCTCCTTGATTCTTCATTCAAACCATCTGAGCTATCAGCATTTTGGCTTCCATGATTGATCATATTATTTCTAACTGCTAAACTGCCTTCTTGATTAAGCATTCCTAGTAGAGGCAGTACAGGTGCATGAGTAGATGATCTTGGTGTGTTTAGGCGTCTATTGGCATCCGCTAGCACAGATGATGCCACTGCATCTGCCCTTTGGGAATAGCTTGACTGCTGAGTTGCTTCAGTGGTCGGGTGGCTGCTAGCATTTGTCCTTCGATAATCAACATCATCATATCCAGAATGTCCACTTTCTGAGGAAGTGCTCTGAGAACTTGAGACAGAGTTACCTACAGCCACTGGTTGAGGTGATTCGGAAGTATAAGGCCCAGAACTGGCATTTCCAACATTTGGAGATGACATGTTGGATGCAACATTATTTGAAAACTGTACAATTACCATAGGACAAGAAGGACTCAACGATTTGTGAATATCATCAATAATATCATTCATTTTCCATGATTCTTTTTCTACAGAACAAAAGTAGCATTTGACTCTGTCATTCATGCCATTCCCAATATAAACAAATCCAGAGCTAGCCAAGTTAGATGCCGATTTGGCAGCAGATGCTGGGTACTTGGCAAATGATGCCAGCCGCATTGTTTCCCTCTCAAACTCTCTCCATGGAATCCCACAAACAGGTGGCAGCATGTTCACACAAACATTTCTCAACGACTTGCTTGGTGTATTTCTGTTCTGTTGACCCTTGATATATTTATTCTCTTAATTCTGGCAATGTCTGTTTGTTTGTTTCTTTTAATTATGAAATAACAGCAATCACTACCATGCATAAATTCCCATAAAAGAACCTGGCTACAGCAGTCACTCGGCGAGCACACTTGCAATAAGTCATACAAAAGGCACAATTGTAATAAGTTATGCAAAAGAAAGAAACAATACGGTTTCTGTACAAGTGGTAACACAACTTCCTGTCTACTAGACAGTCTGAATCCTGTGTTAAACCTGAAGCCATAATCCACAGACATTGCAGAACAATCATCATCATAAATGTGCAATGTTACATCCTTGTCTTCAGTCAAGTTTTGTTCACTTGCTGTGACTGACTTGAAAAATGTTTCATATTTAACCATCTGATTGTAAGGCTTCTTCAGAAGCTGATGATGTGTAACATAAACATGATGATGTGTAACATAAACATGATGATGTGTAGTTTGTAGCATGATGTTTTCCAATCCTTTTAGCAGACTGATGTCTACATTCAAGTTGTCATCTACCACCATATCAACCTTATCCTCTGATTCATAATTTTTGTTATCTAAAGAATCAACTTTGATAACTATGGCTGCATTGTCAATTTCTTGTCCACATTGCCTTCTGTCCAATAAAGTATCTGATGCTGAGACATCCTGTCCATTCTCCAGTTTTCTCTCATTACTTTCCAGACAAGAAATATCAAACATGGAGACTTCATTTTCATTCTCTGTTATTTCCTTGTTGTCTTCAACAACATTTTCAGATGTTGAAACTTCATCTCCATTCTGGTTTTTAGAACCCTTGCAGTCTGTAGAAAGATCATCAGAGACAATAAATGATGCTGAGCCTTTAGCAGCTGAATCGTGTACTGGAGAAATCTCTGATCTATCTCTGTTATCTGTAGTATCTTCCCACAAATCTGCCTTTATTTCCTCATCTCTTCTTGGTTTGTGTATGCTGTTGCTGTATTCACCAACTAAAGAGCAATACAACATTACTGCCATGTTTATCACATTCCTTCTTTCAATCATAAAGAGCACCCGGAAAATCCTGCTCCACAAAGAATTAACCAGTGCAAAAACACTTCTTCCAGATAAATCCTGCTGTGACAACTTGTATAGATACAAAACAGTGTCACTAGAAATGTAACTTCCGACACTGGAGAAAATGTTGTTTCCATATTCCTCAGTATAAGTGTGCGTTAATTTCTCCAGACAACAACTAAACCGGTTTCCACACATCTCAGTGTTAGTGTCTAATGACTTCTCCAGCTTACAGTAACTAAACTGATTTCCACACATCTCAGTATAACTGTTTAATGACTTCCCCAGCCTAAAGCAATTGAGCTGGTTTCCACACATCTCAGTGTAACTGTTTAGTGACTTCCCCAACCTAAAGCAATTGAGCTGGTTTCCACACATCTCAGTATAACTGTTTAGTGACTTCCCCAACCTAAAGCAATTGAGCTGGTTTCCACACATCTCACTGAAGGTGTCTGCTAATTTATTCAAACAGAGACTGCTAAGTTGAGGGATTTCTGGTGTAACAGCAGGCCCCATGTCTCAGACAAGACTGCAAATATAAACATATTTTACAATTCATGAGAGAGAAAAAACACTTGTTGTTATTAATGCATGGAATGAAAATGTGTGGTTCATAAGCAATAACAAAACAAAATTACCAACATAATAGTAGAAGACCCCTTTTCACACCTTCAGGCTTTGGGCATATAGGGCTAGACCTATATTTTATAGACCAGCTGGCACTTGGTGAGTGATGTGGTCAACATCACACCGGCTGCCTTTACTTCCCAGGACATTACTTGGTTCCCATTTAAGGCTGGGTTGACCTGGGATGACCACATAAGATGATTACACAATACATAAAATAGCCAAACTATATATTACATATGTTATGGACAGTATAGTATTCTTCACTTATATATGTGTTTGTATGTAGGCCTATATATATATATATATATATATATATATAATACATATATATATATATATATATATACACAGTATATAACTCTTAGGGTTAAAGATAGGATTATTTTATATTTACAAGACTACTACTGTTACTACAAGTAGAACTACTACTACTAGTAGGAGTAGTGAGTAGGCATAGTAGTAGTAGTAGCAGTAAGTAGTAGTAGTAGCAGTAAGTAGTAGTAGCAGTACTATTAGTAATAGTAGTATTAAGCAGCAGCAGCAGTAGTAAGCAGTAGTAGTAGTAAGCAGCAGCAGTAGTAGTAGTAGTAGTAGTAGTAGTAGTAGTAGTTAGTAGTCAGTAGTAGTAGTCAGTAGTAGTCAGTAGTAGTAGTAGTAGTCAGTAGTAGTAGTCAGTAGTAGTCAGTAGTAGTAGTAGTAGTAGTAGTAGTAGTAGTAGTAGTAGTAGTAGTAGTAGTAGTAGTAGTAGTAGTAGTAGTAGTAGTAGTCAGTAGTAGTAGTAGTAGTAGTAGTAGTAGTAGTAGTAGTAGTAGTAGTCAGTAGTAGTAGTCAGTAGTAGTAGTAGTAGTAACTAACAGTAACAGTGATAGTAGTATTAGTACAAGTATTTTCTCTGTCGTTATATTAAAATACTGTTTGTGACTAATTTATACAAGGGTTATAATACAACATTGAGAAGCAGAACTATAATTATTCATTCATTTCAGTTCAAGTTAACTAACACATTTTACACAAACCCAATCACGATGAACTAAATAATAATAATGCCCGTCAACCAAGATCTCCAGGCCGCACATGCCTCAACTTATTCAGCTCTGTGTCCATCGCACACTTCGTGAGCTTTTATACACCCAATCAATTGCCAAATCATTGCACCGTTGCCTATATTAACACTGTTACAAAAGATTCGCAGAAACTGCACAACAAACCCGGTATCCGGTATGATACTCGTACTATCAACTGAACGCCCAGTCTGTTCATTCATTAGGTCTTGAGTTTTGCTTCCTGCCTGGTCCTGCTTACGTCTTCTAGAGATTTAGCCATCTAACGGGAATTCCCTTCAACCGTCATTCTCAAATCTGACTGTAATTGTTATATCTGCGATGTTATCTGAATGTTATCGCGCAGATTTCTGTTTGTTATTCCTGCAATCCTATGCAATGACTGGTATTTAAGCGACCCTTCCTCGTGAATTCCATCCATCGCTTAATAAGTTTGTCTTACTATTCTCGTCTGTTCTCTGCCTCTTCTGTCCTTCTTCCTGGCGTTCAACTTTTGTAAACCTCCACAGAAAGGTCCGACTTTTTCGTCACCGCTTTCTCCAGAATAAAAAGCTGGAGTCTGGCCGTAGTTTTCGTCAACAACAGGGATTTAGTCTTTTTATTATCTCTCACTTTCATTGATTCATTTTTGCCCCAAACACATATGTGTCCCGTATACTGTTTGAGAAAGATACAAAACCGAACGAAAAGTATATCAGCGAGCTTCACAATATAACAAACACAAAAAAAAAAAAAAAAAAAAAAAAAAAAAAAAAAAAAAAAGTGAACGTTGCGGCCATGGAGCCTTCTTCAGCACGTACATAAATTAGTCTGTCTACACAAATACCTGTTTGCATGTAATGCATTGTAGGTATTTTGTATGTTTTGTGTGTGCTGCCGTTTGTAAGTGTTGGGCATGTTTTGCACAATTCACACATTGTTCACATTAAACTAAACAATTTACACTTCTACAATATATTGCAGTTTATACACAATCTATGTAAATATGAAAAAAAGGGGGGGGGGAATATACTTACAATACTGGAAGATAAAAACATATGTATATCCTAAATATAAGCTTAAGCCTGGTGTGTTTAACAGGATATCGTTATTAAAATTACAACTCACTATACTTAAGAAATCTGGCTTGCAAGAATATATTTATCTCATCGGGTAATTCAAACAACTGTTAAACAACACCATACCATACAAAGCATACATGGAAAGAGAAGAAGGACGTAGAGCACGAGGTAGACCAAGAACAATATGGAAGGATAACATCAGAGAAACTCTACAACAGCACGATGTGCCAATGGTCGAGGCGGCCAGAAGAGCTAGAAACAGAACCTTTTATCTTCCTCGACACCCACAGCGGTAAAAGAGGAAGTGAAGAAGAAGAAGTAGTTAAACAACTCAACGATAAGTATACATTCACAACACAAACAATAAATCGGTTATTCTACAGCATAAAGTAATTAAAAAGTCTAAAAAGTCATAATATCTATTCATATAATCGTAGCCCACAATCCACGAATACAACAATTGATTAGTAAAATAAAAAGAAAAAATTATATGGTGTGAAATAGGAAAGACAAAAGTAGTAGTCGCAATAATCACAAAAATATCCTATTAAATCCATAATGTTTTAATAGTTGTATAAAGTGTTTTTCGAGTTCTCAGAGAACATTTTTGTTTTTTTTATTCATCGTGTAATCATTTATTTAAGACACTCGCATAATTTGTATTATTATTTAAAATACTGTTACGTTCACACCTTTGTGGATTATGCTAACGAAAGTTTAAATTGCAAACTAAAAGGACAATATCCATCACAGTGACAACCCGGGGCGATTGAACATGACATTATGTATCTGAAAATTACTACTACTACTAATCCATGTAATTAATTCACTCCTGATTATTCAGAATAGCATTGGATTATCTGTTTAAGCATTTAAGGGTAAAATGTTACTGATACTGAAAGAATAAATGCTATCTGTTCCTTAGAATTTCGCTTACCAGTTTT